GTTCCATAAAATCCATAAGCACCATGAGAATTGCATATAATTCTGCTTTCTGTACAGATGTATATGGACTTTGAACTACTTTACTTACCTCACCTGCTTTATAACCAGCCTTCCCTGTTTTGTTAGCATCAGTGTAGATAGTAAGAAGGGCTAGACATGGGGGTGTTTTGGGAGTCCATAGGAGGGAAGAAATCAGTATGTTCAACTGAGATCTACTTAGTCCCTTGAGAAAGATGGTAGAGAGTGAGGAGTAACCACTGCATGTAGTCTGCTACAGAGCTGGGCATGAGACTGGGGCATTGGATTTGTAGGAACAAGGCTGATAATGAAGACTTCTATCTCCTTCCCTGGACTACTTGCTTCTCTAGAGGGTCAGTTGTAGGATTCTCAGGTTTGTTTGCTGGAGTTCGGGCCTAGGACAGTAAGACTAGTGTAGAACATTGTTGGAGGAGAATATCTGTGTGATTTGCTTGAGATTGGGGCAAAGAGAAAGGGGAAGCTGCAGTGTTTTCTGGTACACAACTGGGAATGAATTTGAGAGATTGTGGTGGGGAAGAGATAGAGAATATATGCAGTTAGCCTTCCTGCTTCCCTGATTGCTATGGCCTGGGTACTCCCAGGTAATCCCTGGCGGTTACAGGTTGGGGTAAAGTGATAAGTGAAGGGATATATTAAATGAGAAGATCTGCGTGATTTGCTGGAGATAGGGGCAAAGGGAAACATAACAGATGGTCTGCTACAGAGCTAGGGATTAGAATTGCAGGAGAGGAGGAAGAGATGAAAATCTGCATCTGCACTTGTCTTACCTGTTTTCCTGGCAGGTGTGGCAAGTTGGGCATATGAATATTTTTAAAGATTACTGTATTTGTTCATCATCTGTCTTTCATGTGCCTTCCTTTCAAAATACTTAATTCAGAACCTTGAAATAAAGCCAACAAAAGGTTATTAAGAGATGGCTTCAGGTTTATAAGCACACATTGGTTTCCATACATAAACTCAGGCAAATATTCATACATGTAATAGAAAAGTAATTACATCTTCAAAATAAAAGCCAACAGAAATATTTTGTGTTCTAGTATCATCTACTTACCATTATATGGGAAATTATTTTGAAAGAAAGAGGAATTTTCCTTTGAATAAAGAGTATATATAAAAAACATAAGCAAATAGAAAATCTTATTCCATGCCATCTGAACATAGAACAAATTCATGATATATTCATGTTGCTACCAGTGACAATTGCCATGTTTGTGGCCATTCATTCATCTTATTGTTAATAAAGCTAGTTTCAAGTTCTCAGAAAAGCAAGGTTAAGAAAACCTGGTTCCTTCAATTAAGCAACAAGACTAAAGAAAACTAAATGCTCTGGAAGGAAAAAAAAGGAAAGGAATTCTATAAAGCAAACCAAGAAAAATGAGAAATATTTTGAGTTCTGGGTTTTGAACAGTAGCAGAAGACTCGGAAGAACAAAGATGCCATTTCTTTAAGATATATATGAGAAATCAAAGAAAATAGAGTAGAGGGGAAAAACCATTTTCTCTACCAACAATACAGGTGTGCTTTACTTTAAAAGAATGGGTCTACATGAGTAGTTTTCATGGTGTCAGAGAACATGGATGTGGTGGTTAGTAGAAAATGCTTCATATGCATTTGAATACTTGGTCCCCAGTAGGTGGAACTGTTTGGGAAAGATTAGGGAGTATGGCTTTGAAAGAGATGTCATTGGGAGCTGGCTTAGGGTTTCAAAAGGCTCCTGCCATCCCCACTGTACTCTCTTCTTGCTGTTTGTGGCTCCTTCTGTGAGTTCTTAGCTCCCTCTCCATCCTGTACCACCTGCCACCTGCTACTTTGGCTTTGCCATTATGGAGTCTAAGCCTCTGGGACCCTAAGACTAAAATTCACTTCTCCACAAGTTGCCTTGGCCATGATATTTTAACCATAGCCACAGAAAAGTAACAGATACAGTGGATGGAATGTCTATAAAGATATCAGTGACAAAGGAAATAATAACATGCAAGATAACAATTCAAATAGTGTTGGGGAGGGGAAAGGTTTATCTTAGCATTGTAGCACGGGCCTCTGTCTGTTCATTATGCTTTCATCTTCCTTCATTCTTTACTCTCAGCTCTGCACTCAATGTTGATGACTTCCTGACAGCAAGAATATCTTCTTTGCCAAATGATGTGACACACTTTGATGATTCCCCCATGGGAGGCCCCATGGAGAGTGGATGGAGAGGTGGGATGGGGAAGCTGGTAGGGGGAACAGGAGGACAGGAGGGAGAGGTAAATGGAGTGGTATGTAAAATAGATTGTTTTATTTTAAATAAAAATTTATAAAAAAGAATATCTTCTCTGAAGACATCTTCTAAATTTTACTAAAGACACTCACAACTTGATATATCACATACTCAAGATGGATTCAATTGTTCACAAACATCAACTATTGTGTAATTGATGGATAGAAGACTATCCAAATAATAAAACACATAAAACTATTTAGATATCTTAAAATAACTATCTGAGTACTTGGAGTTTATGCTTTATCTTTGAGGTCATGGGAAGACCATCATGTCATTGCATTCTCCTATACATAGAATTTTGGTCTTTCTTGGGGATATAGGCTTTTGTGACAAGGGCTAGAAGAGGAAGGTTATTGATGAGTTTTCCCAGTCATCTCTGTGAACTTCTGAGAACTCCTGCAGCAATTACTTCAAAGGCCTTCTCAGTTTATACCCTTGAACAAAACAAAAATATTATTGAGAATATTCACATCAGAAATTTGAAATAAGAGCAGAAGTAGACACCCACAGCTAAACACTGAGTTGAACTACTGGAACCCAGTTGCAGAGATGGAGGAGTGATGAGCAAAGGGGTCAAGAACAGGCTGGAGAAACCCACAGAAACAGCCAACTGGAACAAAGGTGAGCTTATGAACCCCAGCTGATAGCTGGGAAACCAACATACGACTAATCCAGACCACCTGAATGTTGGTGTCAGTTGGAGGTCTGGGCAATCTATGGGACCTCTGGCAGTAGATCAGTATTTATCCATAGCATACAAATGGACTTTGGGAGCCCACTCCACATAAAGGGATTCTCTCCCACCCTAGACACATGGGGGAGGACCTAGACCCTGCTCCAAATGATATGACAGACTTTGAAGATCCCCCATGGAAGGCCTCATCCTCTGTGGTGAGCAGAAAGGGGATGTGATAGGGGGTTAGTGGGGGCCAGGGGAGGAGGAGAGGGAACTGGGATTGACATGTAAAACAAGATTGTTTTTAATTTAAATAAAAAATAGAAAAAGATATTATTCAATTCTTTGAATCTATATACAAAATGTTATCAACCATTTAAGATAAATTCAGCCTCTCTCCTCTACTCCTCCCTCCTCCCACATTCCCTAAATTTACTTAGGAGATCTTATCTATTTCTCCTTCTGGGGGCATCCATATGTGTCTCTCTTAGGATTCTCCTTGTTTCCTGGCTTCTCTGGGGTTGTAGACTGTAGGATGGTTATCCTTTACTTTATGTCAAATATCCACTTACGTGTGAGTACATACCATGTTTGTCTTTCTGTGTCTGGGTTGCCTTACTTAGGATAATTTCTTTTAGTTCTATCTATTCTTGGGTTGATGGGCATCTAAGTTGCTTCCAGGTTCTGGTTATTAAAAATAATGCTGCTGTAAACAAAGTTGAACATGTATCCTTGTGTTATGAGTGTGCATCCTTTGGGTATATGCCCAAGAGTGGTATTTCTGCATCTTGAGGTAGATTAATTCCAAGTTTTCTGAAAAAATATTGATTTCCAAAGTGACTGTATAAGTTTTCACTCCCATGAGAAATGTTGGACAGTTCCCCTTACTGCACATCCTCTCCAGCATAAACTTTCATTAGTGTTTTTGATCTTAGCCATTTGACATGTGTAAGATGGTATCTCAGAGTTGTTTTCACTTGTATTCCCCTAATAGCTATGGATGTTGAGAAACTTTCAGCCATTGGAGATTCCTCTGTTGAGAAATCTGTTTAGATCTGTACCTATTTTTTAATTGGATTATTTAATGTTTTGGTGACTATCTTCTTGAGTTCTTTGTATATTTTGGAGATCAGTCCTCTGACAGATATGGGGTTGTTGAAAATCTTTTCCCATTCTGTATGCTGCTATTTTGTCTTGTTGACTGTGAGCTTATGGAATAGCATTTTTAAAATCATGGATCTGACATGAGATTGAAACATGTTTTGGTTTAAAAAGCTGACTACTCATTGTTTAAATATATTCATTTTTTAAAAATGCACATTTAAGTAAGACGTTAAAGGACTGAAGAATTTTGGTTAAGATTTAATGCTATTTTGCCAGTCATATTTTGATACTGGACTCAAATGGGAACATTCTCAGCTTTAATAGTATATCTACTCTCAAAATATACATTTGCTGCTATAAAAAGCATCATTGGAGAATAATGTTTGCTACATGGATTTGGTAGCATCTGTTGTATCATTCATTAGTTAAAAATTGATAAACACTGAGTCATTTCTTAATATAACAAAAAAGAACTTATCTGTGACTTTGTCTTTGTAAAGAGATAAATCTCTTCCTTGTAATTGCTTTAAATCCATTCTGTGTTCAAAAGATAGAAATACAAAATAAAAGAATGCCTTTTCTGATAAGCTTATTAATATTTTCAGAGGGATAGAAAACAGTTACTATATTGACAGCTAAGAGCTATTTATCTGTGTGCTTTAGTAAAATGTATTGCTATTATAATGACACTCTCTAAATGTCTAGTATCTTTGTTTAAAAATGCCTTTGGGACTTGAAGATTTATCTCAACTTTCACACTCAGCTCTTTCATTTTCATGTTGACTTATTTGGTACAAGTTCTATTAACGTAAGATTTCTGTCCTGTGGCACACAAAACAGTCATGGGAAAAAGTAAAATACAGTAGTAAAAACAAATATTATAATTCTCATTCACTTCTTTTTTGTTGTTACATACAGGCATAAAGAAATAAGGTACTATTAGAAACAAAGGATATTACAGGTATGACTTTTTTCCTTTTTTTTTTTTTACTGTTCTTGTATAGTTTTTCCCATTTATTCTATAACTATGATAAGACATTAAGTTTGGTTACTAACATACTGCAATATATAAGATATCAGCTCTTTCTATAAGGTTTTTTCTTAATTTTAAATTTAATTTTAACAGTACACACCAACCACAGTTTATCCTCCCTATCTCCTCCCTTTGTCCCTTTCTGTCTCCCCCAAAATCTCTTCCTCTTCAGATCTACTCCCCTTCTGTTTTCTCCTTAGGAAAGATCAACAAACTACTAAGGTTAATTGGAAAATATAGTTTTCTTACATTAATATTTTATTCAGAATATAAAGTACATGAAATAAAATACAGTGATACATTTTGAAAAGATAGAATTTGATTCCTAGAGATGGAAAAACTACAAGATTAGAGTTCTGTGTTAACATTTTTGGATCAAATCAGTGAAGAACCAGACAGTGAATCTAGTAGGTGGGTGGTATTTCCTCACTGTGGAGTGGAGCTTCAGCAACCACCTGCTGGTGTTATACTATTACCAATCAGACCCTGGGAAGTTCAATAGGACAAGATTCTCAATCTTTGTCCTTCATAATGTATATGAAATGTCAAAGCAAACAGTGTCTAAAGCCAAAGGGTTCAGTCCATATTTTATCTCTTGGTGAAGAGGTTGTATGCAACAAGGATTGAGAAAAAAATAAGTCAAAATATATCAAACAAAATATTTAAAAAATTGGACTTTACCTCTATTGTAAATATTCAGGAAATATATTAATATTTAAAATGGTTTGTAAAAACAATTTTGAGCATGCAGACTATTTGAAATGACAGCAGATACACATTGGAGAGAACACAAAGCATAACAATAATGAAGCATAAAATAATGTAAAATAATAAAATTAATAAAGTTAATATAACTAAAAACATTAAAATTACAAAAATAACATTTTGAATATTTGTTTTTATTTTTGCTTTTAATGTGTAGGTTTTTTAGTATGTTGTATATTTTAGAGAATAATATTGTCAGGTGAGTAGCTGGAAGTTCCTGAACCATGGGATAGAGAGTTGTTAGAAAGAAATGGAGAAGAAGAAAATGAGAGGTGTTTTAAGGACAGAGTATTTATAATGACAAGTCACAAAATTTCCCTTGCAAAGGTTCCAAATCTAATAGGATAATTCACTCGAGAAATATATGCCATGTGAGACTGTCAAAAACAATAGAGCAATCAGATAGTAATTAAGGAAGTCTGGAAGCTGGGTGTAATGCCAACAGAGGCAGAGAAATAGACAAAGAAGGACCTGATGAAATCCTGGCCACTCATGGATAAATGGGGCCATGTGTTGAGCTATATTGTTTGAGGAACAACTTCAAAACCTTCAGCCTTTCAGGAGAAATTGATTTCTCATGAAATACTCCAATCAAGTCAGCAAAAATTAAAATAGAAATAAAGACTTTTGTGGAGGTCAAGGAAGAGCAGGATGCAGTTTGTTTGGTTGGTTTTTGCCACCTATCACTACTGTTCTCAACTAATCTTTACAATTGATGGTACCTGTAGGGGATGCTGTAGCCACACCTGCTTATGATGTAGAGGGAGGGATGCTTATGGGGTACTCTGTTTCGGTTTCACTTTCGGCTTGCTGCTCAACTGCTGGCTAGGTCTGTAACGGCTGTAAGTAAGGCTTTTCCCTATTAAAATCCCTTGTATTTTTACCTGGCTCCGTATTGGTAATTTCCCACATTAGGTACTAAATCAAAACATTTACTGAGCATTTGTTATACCAAATATGGTGTAATGGATGCAAAAATAAATAAGACAGGGAATAATCATATAAAGAAATAAAAATTTTTGGATATATTTAGCTTGGTCGATAAATTGGAGCAATTTCTAACAAATGTTATAAAAAGGCAGGCCTGGAGAAATGATTCAGCAGTTAAGAGCACTTGCTGCTCTTGTAAAAGAAACATATTCTGTTCCCAGTGTCCATGTGGCTGCTCATCACCTTTTCTAATTTGACTTCCAAAGAATGCTGATACTCCAATTCTAGAGAATCCCGTGTCCCCTCTGTTCTCTGCAGGCACCAAGCATATATACAGTCAGCATACATATATACATGCAGGTAAAACACTCATACACATAAAATAAAAATAAATACATCATTTAAAAAGAAAAATACTCAGTATTCCAGTTCATACTGAAAGTATGAGCCTCATTTTTGATGACCTAGTAGTAAGTGTATAAGCTCAGCAACAGAGTAAAAATTCCAGAAACCACACAAAAACATGTTAGTGAAATTATACCTAAATTTAATCTTTGAAAAAAATGATTTGGTTCTTTTAATTTAAATTATATTCTCAGAAACTGTAGCTTTTGTAAATCCTTAATAAAACAATATCAGAGATTTTATACAGTTTAGTAGTATACTGAATGTATATTACATATTGCATACACATAGACGCACACACACGAATAGCATCTCTCAGTGCAAAGCTTTAAAAAAAAAAGCCTTATTTCTGTTGTGTAATCCAAATTACTCTAATGATCCTGCTCATTATATTTCTTATTAAAACCACAAATTAATGAGGAAGAAGAGCATCATTATTCTGATAAATGTCTCAGCAATTCTAGTTAAATTAAGAATTGCCAATAAAATAATCTTCTGAAGAAGGGATTGCTAAATACAGTAATCTAGAAATAATAGTTACTAAAATACCCTCAGCAGACTATTAGAAGCAGTAAAGCCAAAAGACAGAAAGTGTTCATTGATTCTGAGATTGCTTACTGTTTAAATACAGGGCTTATTAGTTACTTTTATGTTATCATGGCAGGTTACCTGCATAACTATTTAAAAGGAAGAGATTTTATTTCAGCACATAGTTTAAAAAAGGTTTGGTCTATCATGGCAGCAGAGATTTCCACCTCAAGGTGGGCCAGGAAACATTGGGTGAGCTTGACACAAGGACACACACACTGATCTACTTTCTCATGCAAAGCCCCAACTCCCAATGTTTCCAGGACTGTCCGAAAGGTCCTGGAGTTCAAAACCAGGTGTTCAAAATATGATCCTATAAGGGGAATTGTCTTTTCAAACCATAACACAGGGGTACTAAAAATACCCTATTGTGTAGGAAAGTAAACACTCAAGGAAAAGAATTCAAGAATATTTAAGTTTTATTTCAGCAAAATAGTAGCAAGTAAAGTATAGAAAATGCATATTTCAAAGCATTATAATGTCAAAATATTTATGACATTAAAATTTGGGTATAATCTCATTTTTAGGATTGCTTTTATTTCTGTGTATGTGTATACCACACATGTGTGTGTGCCCATGAATGCCAGAAGATGGTGCCAGATTCCCTGAATCTACAGTTACAAGTGGCTGTCTGATGTGGGTGCTGGGAACCAAACAAGTCCCACTGTAAGAACAGCATGAAGTCTTCACTGCTCAACCATCTATCCATCCCTGTAATCACATTGCTTATATAAAAAATACATTCTTATCCGATATTTTTAAAATTGTATTTTATTTTATTATCTTTATTTTACTTAACAAAGACAGTAGGAGCCACTGGGGACAGAGTTGGCCCCACGTGCACGAGAGTGAGACAACTGTCCCTGCCCCTCACCAGCTGCAGCATATGGAAGAGCGAGCCTGGTCCCTTGCCTGGGCAGCACTCTAGAGCTGACCTTGTGCAGGTGAGCACGCATGCAATGAACTACATATGTGCTGGTAAAACACTCTGTGGGTGTGAGAGCAGTAGAGCTGCCCTGCTTCCTCCCTAACATGCCTTGGGGTGGCAATGGTGAGGGAAATATGCTCCTTTCCCCACCCCTTGCCACCTGTGACAGGTGAGAGAGACGACCTCCAGAGCTTTAAAATGGAAGATCTGACCCTGACACTCACCAAGTGCTACAATCCAAAGAGAAGTCCCTGTACCTTGCCTGGGCAAAACATTAGAGCTGCCCCTGATGATGTATGTGTGCATGACCTGGACCCAATGGTGTGAGAGCAGGTGAACCGGCCTGCTCCTTGCTCGCCCAGGTGGGGAAGGTCAGGGAAAGCTGTTAGGTTGACCAACCCAGCTACCACCCAGGCCTAGAACTAGGACTATGGTGTAGCCACCCCAACATCTACCTCATTTATGAGACGTTATAGGCCGTAAAGGGGTTGCACCTGCTGATCCAAAGATACAGGATCTCCATGCCACAAGGCAACAAAAGGATATCCGTGGGGAGTCAAGGTGGAGGGCCCATTATCAAGGGTGTAGAAGAAACCAGATGCCTCAAACCAGACCAATGACTCACTCATTGCACTGAATACTTACAAGTAAAGATGTGTGGGTCAAAGGCTGAACCAGATTCCAAGCCGAGATTTGTTTGTTTTGCTTTTGTCTTTTTTCACTTTGAAATTTTGTTTTGAGGGGAAGGTTACAAGGGCAGAGCAAGTGAGGGGAGGGGGTATGCGAGGGATCGTGATGCTTGGAGTGAAATCTGCAAAGATTCAATAAAAAAAAAAATGAAAAGATCCCTGGGAAGAAATTTGATGAAAACATTTCCTCCAAGGTCAAGCGATCATTTCCAGTTTCTGAATATCCAACATACAAAATAGTCAGCAGTAGAGCTACTTTCAGAATTGATTTTTGTTTTACCCCAAGTCTCACAGTGTTTCATTTTCAAATAGTGACAATGCAATTTTGGCTTACAATGACTGCATAGCAGTGATAGATGCTTGCATGGATTTATTCTTCAAATGACTTATTGAAATCCCCGAAATGTGTATACAGATGCACACTGGATAGGCACTGTCAATATCCTATCTGCTTTAAAAAAATTCATAGGGAAATGACATGCTAATTTGTGTTGTAAATGAATGAAGAAACATTTCAAATAGCTTTGAGAGGCAATAATCTATTAAAATCAAGTAGAAAAAATTAAAAGGTGCCATCAGCTTCCTTATTTATGTATTCAATGATAGTGTCTAAATGAGCCAGAACAGACACCAGAGGGCTTCAGCTACATATTTTAGTGCCATATTAAATTACTGTCATTGTAAGTGTATAAACAATATATTTGCAGCATATTAGTGACAAATGTTAGGCTAATACCATAACAAAATGACTACCAGGGTATTTAATAACTTATTAACAGAATGTGTTTCTAGGTATATGAACTCATTTACAATTGTCAAACAAACAGAATTATGGGAACTTGCAACCTCTGGATGGAGAAATTTTATTTCATGGCACATACATCCTTTATATCATTTAGTGAAACGAATACTTTTCATTAAATTTTGATCAGCATTTCTCCATCAATAGCTGGCTTTTGGATTTATCAGTTTGTGTACCTCATAACAACATCATCAGACTGCCTATACATGGCTAATGTTTTCTTCTTCCTGAGGTGGCCTTTAAAGGACAGGGGGATTACCAGAAATGCATCAGTTCTGTCTTGTCTGTACATTTAAGATGCCATTATCTCTTCTATTCAAGGATAAATGTTTTCTTCTCTCTTCTCACTTTGCAAAATTTTCCTTTATCTCTCCAGAGCCATTTCAAACTAAAAAACATCAGGCTGCCTTACACTGTGAAACTACGTGGCCTTGTTTCATGAGAAATAGTTTCATAATAAATGTCCCTTTGACCAAAATGTTTCCCAAATCTTTAAAAGGAACATGTCCTTTAGACCCACACAAGCACACTCAGGGTAAATCCATTTAAAAGTAATATTTTATGTGGTGTTAAAAAGCATAAAACTACTTCAAAGGCAATAGTCTTGAAAGGAGTTTCTATATTGATAGACAAAAGAAGTGATCATTCAGTCAGCAAATATTACCAACACTCAGTAACTGAGTTCCAGTTCTGACAAAATAATTCAGTAGAAACCAAAGCATTAAAGCTGATGCTACATGTCTCACCCATGTAAAGTCATCCTGTATGCAGGAGGTTGCAAGATGACAGTGTGCTACTCTGTAGTTTTACTTGACAATAAACTAGGTCCTTGGAAAATTATTTATTCTTAACTTTGCATAGCCATGAGTTGAACACGCAGAAAACTAGATTCTTTCTCTGTTTCTCTGTGTCTCTCTCTGTCTGTCTCTTTCTCTGCCTTTCTGTCTCTCTCCCTCTCTGTGTCCATTTTCTTAACTTAAAACTGCATCTGTATTGTAAACCTATTCACTGACTTCAGCTAACACAGTTACTGGCTTGAGAACACATGAGCTTGTCACAGTAAACGTGCATTTTCAGATATTATACCTTCTGGCAACTGTGTTCTTCTACTCTAAATCACTGGCACTTTCTACAAGAACAAGTTCAAGGCATTGATTCCCTCTGTCCCTTGTACCTACTGGTTGGATCCCTAAAAGTTTTTTGTTTAGAAGACTCATTCTTCTCTTATTCCTTAGGCCATTGTAAGAGCTACTTTTTTCTATAGCTGCATGTGTCTGGCATGATAGCATAAGACACCAGTAGATCATTTTGTTCCAAGAAATCTATGTTTATATGCAAATTACACCCCTAGTAATTTTCAAAAAAAAAAAGAAATGGGCTTACAATATATAAGAAAAAGTGTCCTTGTAATTTTCTCCTACCTTAAAACATAGGACATTCTGCTTCATGGTTCCATGTGAAGCACATAGGAGGACATAGCAGGTAGATTCCTGTTTCTGCTTACTTGGGGCAGCTGGTAAGTACTTAGGCTATTTGTTATATAAGTGGTTTGTCCAAATAAGTCTCCAATATCAATGAAATCAAACTTAGAGAAACTTCCATGCATCAAATCATTATCACCTGGACAAACTGCAATGGCAGCAGGCTAGAACTACTCTGTTCTAAAGGTATAGCCAAATTACGTGTGGGTTTTTTTATGGCACAGCAGCAATGAGAGACATTGAGGCAAAACTATTACCTTCTGTTCAAGAAGATGAAATCTCTGGCTAGGGTGGAGACCTAACATTCTAGTAGGACAAGCTCAGGAATCAATCTAAGGACTAGAAGACCAACACTAAGAAGATAAGTTCACTTTTAAATCATACCACAGAGATGGGTGAAATAATAATTATTTTCTTAATGAATAATGTGTTTTTTCATTCCCAATTTCCCTCTCACTAGCACAGTAGTTTACAGGGGCACAGATATAAAGCTTTGCAAATCTACCTGTTTTTCTGAATTGCTCAAAACTCTTCTCTGTCTCTATATTAAGTATGCTTTCTTTGGTACTTTGGGCTTCCTTGCTCCTTCTTTAAAATTCCCCTTCCTTCCCTGTGGTTATTGGCCAATCATGTCCTTCCTCTATGCCAGCTTAACTCAAACAGAAACCATTTTAAAAACATTCTCTTTGTTTTTTCTCCTCCTGCCTCTCATTCTCAACTTTTGAGAAGCTGCTATCATTACAGCTTGCCTATACTGGGGCTTTCTTCTAAAGTTGATAAAAATTATCTTACTCTTTGGGTTGAATCCATTCTTACTTACTTTTCATTTTAAATATGAGGGGGACTGGCATGTGCTAAGGCGCTGGGCTGTGAGTGTGTGTGTGTGTGTGTGTGTGTGTGTGTGTGTGTGTGTGTGTTGTGTTCACATACACATGAATCCAGGCACTCATGTAGACTAAAGGTATGAAGACCTCTGGAGCTGGAGCTCCAGGCAGTTGTAAATTGCCTGACATGGATGCTGGCAACTGAATTCAAGTCCTCTTCAAGAGTAATCTTAACTGCTGATCCATCATTTAGGCACCTCTCATCCTTAAATTCCTTTATTGATGATATTAAAAACACCACAGGGGCCTTCAATTTCTCCATTATTATCTGTCCATCATGAAAAGACTCCTCAAAATGTCAAGTAATATAGAAAGAATTTAAACTTATCTAAGATACAGAATTATTGAAAATATTCAAGTTCTGTGTTTTCCTACAGGTATTCTAGACTTCCCTTAATCCCTAGTTCTCTGCTAACAGAAGTTACTATTGGACCATAGTGAGGTCAGAAACTAATTTGCATCAGCTCCTCTTTCTTCTGTTTCTTTGTACTGCTAAGCCAAAGCTCTGGCCACAATCTCATGTCACATTTTTGAAAGGCTGCAGGGCCATAGAATTTCAGAAGAAACAAGATCATAACAGCATTTTCTGTTCTCTCCATCAATGTAGAATACAAATATCAAATAAAAACTAATGTAGCTTGCAGTAGTGTGGAGCTTGCTTTTGACACTCTATGCATGAAAACTGTCAATCAAATAAAACTAGCACTATGAATTTTGAATGGCAGAAGTATACTATGGGATCATTGCATAAAGCTGCAGAGTGTTCTAAGAGGTCATACTAAACTCAAGAAAGGTTACCCAAGTATCTTATACCATTGATCTTGTTAAATAACTTTTCACCTAAGTATATAATACAGCTAAAGAAAGACATTATAAATATCTAGAGACTGTTAAATTTGAAATTATAAAGGAATGGACCCCAGGAATGGGAAGAGGCAGGAACTCCTGAGCTAATTGGGAGCATGAGGGTAGGAGACAGGGAGCTGCCAGAATGAGAGCAGGAGAAGAGGAGTGGAGGAGGGGAAATGGAGGAGAAGAAATATTGAGTTGGGTGAAGAATAGAGGAGAGAGAGCAGGATGAGAGATACCATATTAGAGGGAGCTACTATAGGTCCGGAAGAGATCTGGAACTAGGGACATCTCCAGAGACCTACAAGGATGACCCGATCTGACAATCCAGGCAATGGTGGAGAGGATAACCTAAAAGCCATTCCCCTAAAATCAGATTGATGAACACATTATATGCCATCCTAGAGCCCTCATCCAGTGGCTGATGGAAGCAGAGACAGACATCCACAGATATACTCTGAACTGAACTCTGGAACTTAGGTGCAGAGAGGGAGGAATGAAGATCGTAGGGGTCTGTACCAGGTTGGAGAAACCCACAGAAACAGTTGGCCTGAACAAGGCCACATAGACCTCAGATGCTGTCTGGGAGGCCAGTATAGGACTGATCCAGACCCTTGAACATGGATGTCAATGAGAAGGCCTCTGCACTCTAGGAGGCCTCTGGTAGTGGATTGGTAATTTTCCCTGGTGTAAGAAGGTACTTTGAGTGGGCCCTATCCTGCCTGGGGAGTGGAGGGTGGATGGGTGGGGGGTAGGTCAGGGGTTGGGGAGGAAGGATGGGGATGAGGGGAGGGAGAGGGAGAAAGGATTGACAGGTGAAACAAGTTTGTTCCTAATTTGAACTAATAAAAAAAATGAAAAAATGTAAATGTTAGGAAAAATTTAACCATAATAAAAATATCCTTCACTTATCAATTGTATTATTGATAATGAATGATTTCCCTAAATATGTGGTTAATATAGTTTTCAATCTGAATGTATCTTTGTCAGTACTAAGTTACTCACATGATAATTAGCCTTTAAATTTTAGCAGATTTAGACTGGTATCTTGGAGTTTCTGGGGGTGGTGTGGTTTTTAAGGCAGTGTTTCTTTGTGGCTTTGGAGGCTGTCCTGGAACTAGCTCTATTAGAGGCCCCTGGTCTCACCCTCATAGAGATATGCCTGCCTCTGCCTGCTAAGTACTGGGATTAAAGGCTTGTGCCACCACCACCTGGCTAGACTGGATATCTTAAACAATGTGTGTGTATATGAATGTATGTATGTGGTAAACATATGTGAAGCCGGGCATTGGTGGAGCACACCTTTAATCCCAGCACTCGGGAGGCAGAGGCAGGTGTATCACTGTAAGTTCGAGGCTAGCCTGGTCTCCAGAGCAATTGCCAGGATAGGCTCCAAAGCTACACAGAGAAACCCTGTTGTGAGGAGCCGCACTCACATTCGCCATTACAAGATGGTGCTGACATCCGCTGCCGGATCAAGTAAACAATATTGGTGCGCATGTGCCCAGTGTTTTTCCACTTGCCTAGCCTTGCCTCTCCCGTGGCATCATAGGGTGATGAGTCCTCCACCTATCCCAGCTGTACACACACTATAAAGAGCTTATGAGCCTTTATAAGGGGATGGGATTCTTGGCTCG